GCTTAAAATAGGGAATGTAAGTACTCTGATACAGAAGCTTTCCCCCAAGAAAGAGAAATAAGATATAGATCTCTAAAAATTTTCCACACATGGAGTAGAACCGTTAAGTGTTAGGTGTCCGATGCTGTAACTCATTTCTGACTTACACATTAATGCTATGCTAACTGTAGCCTGCTGACAGCCTTTAGCTGTTGTTTTCTTTGGTTTCTGAAGGAAAAGTGTTTTCAGGTCTCGTCCATTCTCTCTCTCTCTCTCTCTCTCTCTCTCTCTCTCTCTCTCTCTCTCTCTTTTTGAGCACACAATTTATAAACCATGGATGATATTATGTTGCATTCCATTAACAAATCATTGTAAGCTGCTGGTTGTCTTTTAATCCTGTTTGACATTTGAGGTGTCCAACAGGCTGGATTCTACTCTTATTCTAAGCAGTCACTTCCTACTTCAAACACCTGGAATTATATTTCATGGTTTGTAATGTCTCTTTTTTCTTTTAGGCATTTCTCTTAGCTGCAGTTATGAATCACCACATTCACTTCTGCATGCCCAAACTATCTATACAACATAGAATGAAATCTCTTAGAGAAGGGTCTGCAGGGTGTTAAGGGTCTCAGAATTAGATCAGACCCATAGTGATCTACCTGTTTACAGCCTCCCAAGAGCTGGGATTACAGGCATGCGCCACCACGCCCAGTCTCAATTGCTGTCTCCGTGTGCCCCTGTGGTGGGGCTGGCACAGAAGGCCTGGGGATTGAAGCCCCAGCCCCTGTGCCTGCTTGCAGGTGCTTTAGTCCTTTGAGCTATTTGGCCGAGAATGAAATCTCTTAAAACTACAGCTGAAAAACTCCTCTTCTATTTCGGAACTCTATTTTTATTTTCCAGATGAGCTCTATAATCAATTTTTAAAATGTTTGTTTATTTATGTACTGGTATACTTTTTCTCTCCAAAAGGGTCATAAGTTATTTAAAGGTAAGAGCTCCATGGACTGGGGCTGAAAATTAAATATACATTTAAAAATCTTCAATATCATGCACACATGCATATACAAATCATTAGGGACAACTACAACTATATACTTTATGCCTTTATGAATATAACTACAGAAAAATATAGATAGCAAGCTATAAAAATTTAATAACTCAAAATGCAAAACTAGAAGCTTGGCACTGTGCCAATTCTATAGGTTCTAAAATTTATGGTGGTAATGTTGATAGTGCATGCCAGAGCACTTGCCAGAGATGCCTTGGTTGGAAGTAGGGTTATATTACATTTTGATATAGAGTGCAGCCTCTATTGAAAGCAAAACAAAAAATAAATGTGTGCTAATATTTTAGGACTTTTAACATGTTTTGCAAAATATCCCCCACATTATGGTCTTTTGATATTTTCCATTAACAAAAGATATTATAGTCAAAAATATTTGAGAAAAATATACAAATTATGCCTCCCTTGGAAAGTTACAAAGTAATATGGTATAGCTTAGGTTTCCCTAAGCCTTTTTAAAAGATTATTGGCACTGGGAATAATGGTGCATGTCTGCAATCTCAGTGCTTAGAAAACTGAGGCAGGAGGATAACTGCATGGCCCATGCTGGTCTAGGCCAGCTATAGCAATATAGTGAGTTCAAGGCCAGCATGAATTATATGGTGAGATCCTATCTCAAAACAACAACAAGCACAACAACAACAAAGACAGATTATTTATCCTTCATTATCATTATCTTTCAATTATAATTGCCCTTGGAGTAGTGTGTTTCATACAACAACTATGATTTTTTTAAATCTTCCAGAGAAAATGTTATAAAAATAAAATGTGTGTGTGTGTGTGTGTGTGTGTGTATATATATATATATATACATATATATATATTATTTGTATCTTAAATATTACTTGGAATATACAACTCAAACAGACACATTTAAACTACAACCTTAAGGATAGGATGTTTTTAATACTCTATTCTGGCTTCATAAATGATTCCAGTATCTGTGATAGAAATTCCAGAGCAGGGATGAGAGGTGGGCCCACACTCTATGGAACTGTATGTGGCTCTCCACTGTTTGTATAGAACATAGGTAACCAGAAGATGAGGGCATCAAAGAATACCCTCAGAGTCTAACTGCTGGAAAAGTGGAAGGAAAGATAAAAATGGAAATTTGTTAGATCTCAAAATTCATTTCTGAGGCCATATTCTTTTTCTTGATTATATTTGGTTTAGTTTTAATTTCCTAGTTCTATGTATGTCTGAGATTTTATAATGATTTCTTAAGCAATTCTGTGTCAAGTGCTTTAACTATATTCATAAATAATTACATGATCTTATTTCCATAACGTTGGAGAACTTACTCTCCTAATGTACCTCGCATCATCAGAACTATATTAAATGAGTAACAAGATTATAGCTTAAATTCACTGGTGTCCTAGTTCAGAACATTTAGTTCCAAATATCATATTAGCCAAGATAAAATTTATAGGGATAAATCTAAGAGGTTTAAATTTATTTGTACTTGCTTTGACTATTGCCACATGTTTATGATATAAAATTTTGCTAAATAAACTAATGCATAAATTAGTCTTTAATATTCATAAAAATCTGAAAAATACAGAAGATGACAATAGTTGTTTACTTATGTACTTATATACCTTACTTTCCATCTATCTCTGTATAAACTTATAAACTAAGTAATCTTTAATTTTAAAGTGTCATTTTGATAAAATTATTAACCAACCTGAAAAAAGTCTGTTCTCTTGACGATAAGTTAAGCTCTGAAAATATTTAACTAATAAAATTATCCTGCTATGTGGCAACCTCAAATATTCTAATGTAGCACGACAATAAGGATAATATAGTACTTGACATCTCATAAGGCTAAATAGAAAGATTAAGTAACAGGAAGAGGACTTGATCTGAGTAAGAACCCAAATGAACTTCTGCAATCAATATCAAATGTCTAAACATAAAAGACTGCCAACTTCTCAAAAGGAAAGAACAGCTGCTATGGGGGAAAGGAGAAAAGAAGGAAGGGAATTTTTTTAAATGTATACATATGTAATAGATATAATGTATTTTTCTTGATTATATTTGTTTTAGTTTTAATTTCCTTTAAAGAATTTCCCAGTTCTATGTATGTCTGAGATTTTGTAATGATTTCTTAAGTAATTCTGGGTCAAGTGCTTTTACTATATTCATAAATAATTACATGATCTTATTTCCATAATGTTGAAGAACGTACTCTCCTAACTTACCTCATATCATCAGAACTATGTATCACATATATATGTAATATACACACACAAAGTTGCTAAGATAAGTATATGACTGATTTCTTAGTCCACTGAAAGGAACAGTTAATGCTTATGCTATATGCCTATATCTGGTAACCTGAGCAACCACTTTGAAGATAGCAATGGTAAGATAATAACCTTTGTCAATTTCCTATCATCTTGTTTTAAAATTCTATATCAATTTTATTGATTTTCTTTTCTTTTTTTTAAAAAAAATAAAATGACTACCATACATGGAGCAGACTGGCAAAAGAAGAACAAATAACATAAACTTCCGCCTTTACAACTACCTTTGTGCCGCTTGGAATATTTTGAAACCATCAAGAAGTCACAGTAATTGTAAGGGTCATTAAAATGTTAAAAATATTTCCAGAATTTTGTGAAGAGAAGATAAATAATGATGCTTCTATTTGGATTTTGATTTACAGGATCACCACCATGATCGGAAAAGCAAGACAATTATTTTTTACATGAGTCCTTGTTGATCAACCTCTTATCTCCATTAGGGGACTGTCAGCTGGGGAAACATAACTGTCCTTCCTTAAGGCAACTAGTGGTCCAATGTCTCACTGCCAAAGAAAAAGAAAGGAGCATCCCATTTGTGTGACACCTTTAATGGCCAGAAAATATTTATATAAGAAGAAATAACTCAACCAAGATTTAGAAAAGTAGAAGAGACTCTACAAGGAATGAAACTCATTGGAGTATGGTAAAAGTCTCCCTTTTAATGATAGAGGAATTAACAGTATAATCCTAAAACAGTGTATCTATCTAAATAGAGGTTCTAACTACTTGATTTTACCTACAGCTAAACAACCAAAATGGCAATTCTAACAGAGAATATCATACTATGAAAAACTATGGGATGCTTTCATATATATATATATATATATTCAATCAGAGTTTATAAAATTAAAAAAAGAAATTTTCTTATTGTGCTATGATATTAAGGGGAAAGCTATGAGGTTTTATACCCCTGTTAGATATCTGTCAGAAGATCTGATGCTCAGAGTCCATGGTTAAGTTATTATTTTTCAAGATTGGATAATTCAATTTTACCTAAAGAATATGCCAGGAATTCAATATTTTGAGATGAGATAGAGATAGCCACTAGTTTATTCTGAATGTCTGCTAATTTTAGATACTTGTAATGAAATAATTGCTATGTTTACCTTGTCATAAATTACCACGGCAGATATTAATACCTTTGAGTAACTGCCTATTAATACCTATGACACTTTTCATTGTATGGTCTAGTATAAATTGTGGAATTATATTTGAAGAGAGCCGTGTCTCCTTTAATTTCCCTTTAAGCAAAGAAACCTTATTTTTCAGTTCTATAGTAGAACTCCAGTGAAGGAAGCAAGGGCTTAGTAAAAGGCTGCTGTCATTAAAATCATTCTGAGTTTTCTAGTTGTAGAAGGATAGCTACATGGATTCAATAGTCCTACAATCAAGAGCAAGTATGCACTTCAAAAATGTGAAATTGATGAAAAAATGGAAATTACCTTATTTTAAGGACCTCTGTAGAATTATGACAAAAGTTGCAGCTCATTAAGTATTTGTGTATAGCACCTCCAAATATAAGATCAGTTCATTATAAATGCCCAGGAGACCTTTTCCATGCAAATTCATGAAATAATCCTTCAGGAAGATAACAGTAATACATAATAATACATATATTGAAAGAGAGAGTGAATCAAACTGGTGTGAAAAACATGACCTTCCTCCATAAGGTCAAATATTTTTATTTAGATTTAACACTACAATACAGTATATATCCATTAAAAAAGAAAACTCTATAGTGTATATAAATTATTCCTTCCATTCATCAATTCTTTTCCATTACAGCTTTGGTACAAGATGATTTAGTATATAATTTTAAATACTTTTAGCATCACAAACTCAACACAAAGTACAAAACTAATCCAAATTAGGGATATTATGATCTACACAGTGGTATTCAGTGGTAGGAGAAAATCTTACCTTGATGAATTCATGTCACTAGCTAAGCTATAAAGGCATATCTAGCAGACATGACAGAAATATGCACCATTAACCAGCTAATGTGTGTGTTACTCTTTGTTTATTTTTACAGAATACCAGCAGCAATCATTTGTTGAGAGAACACTTAAGTCCTCAGCCATTTTTCCCAACATGCTCTTCTCTTAAAGGCCATGAATGATATTTGATGAAATGTACCACAGCCAGAGCTCTCAGAACTTGACTTGCCAACCAGTATTGTTCATATTTGCACAGTTTGTCCGGCAGCTAGCCGACATCATGGGGACAGTGCTGGAGGGGCAGTGTGGACCAATCAGCCTAAGGTTGTTCTGAGGGGTTGACGGTGTGATGTTACAGTAAACAGGGATTCCAGGGGCTGGGAGGGACCCTTGGCCCGCCTGGTTAGGTAGCATGATTGGCTGTTGGTATGACTGCTGGGGCAGTCCTTGAGAACCTTGGGTCATTGGCACCTGTAAAAAGACATAAACGAGAGCCCAGGGTGAAAAGACTATTTTGCAATATCCAAGGAACATAATTGTGTTGCAAAAATTATTCATGCTTTGTTTTTCCCAATTTGATTCCCAGCATTTCACATATTAGCAAGTGTCCTATTACCAAGCTACATCCTCAACTCTATTAAAATTTTTGAGTTATATCTAAAAGGTTATCAATATCACTCTTATCATTTATCAGCTATTTTTCACTTCAGGAAGTCATGTAACCTCTGATGGTCTGCACCATTTGCATAATGACACATACTTCAAAGATTCACTAAAAGATTGCTGGATGACATACAGTGCCTCAGACAATATCTTGTCTGACTGTGTGCTCAGAAAAGAATCAGTTCCCAGCTTTGTTCCCCTGCCCCCACCCCTGCTGCTCTCTAGTCGGGATCTTGCACCAAAAGTTTCAGTTTCAAAATATGTGTTCCTAGGCATGTGCCAACAAGTGACTTGGATTAACCCAGTATAAGAAGGGCATGACCCAGATGGGAGGAACTAGAATAGACTCTTTAGGACCACAAATACTTAGGGTAGTTAAATTGAATGGCCAGATAGTGAACTCACTTTTCATTTCTAATTTCAGGCACATCAAGATATAAATCACCAAAGAGTATACAAAAGTTCTTAAAATATTCATCTTGGTTTTATTTGAAAAATGTAGCTGTTAAGCTCCATCAGTGCCTTTTAAGTGAATACAGTGAGTCATTTAAAAATCATATAGCTCAGCCGCATAAGTGTCTGTCTGGCAAGCACAAGGTCCTATATTCTATCACCAATATGGCAATAAATAAATAAATAAATAAATAAATAAATAAATAAAATTTAAAAAAAAAAACTAGCAAATTAAAATTATGCCAAGAGGTTTTTTTGAATGAAAAATGAATGGGAACTTGTTATGAAGCTTTTCTACCAATATGCAGAATTTCACTAAAGGGCATCATCAATAGGACTAGAATTTTCCTCCATGAATAGAAAGCTTATATGTAAACAATTTTAAGGGGAGTCCAATTGCTATCACACATATAGAGCACATACTTGCCGTTTTCCTTTATAATCTTGATTCAAAGTCAACCAGCAACAGTGGTGCAGACAAAAGACTACCACCCACCCAACCAACCAACATAGCAAAATACCCACAGATTTTACTTCAGGAAGTGTGACTTTCTAACCCCCAATTCTGCAGGTTGCTGTTGTGCACCTGATAAGAAGACATTGTTGGGTAGGAGACCATCATGCTTTGCACCGGAGCTCCTTGTTGGCTGCTCATCACACTCTGACTTTGAGGTGGCTGCTGCACTCCCAGTAGGCCTTGGAATCCTTGTTGGCCAGATAAGACTGGCTGATAACCTGAAAAGAAAGGTGAGTTTTTGAAATGTTTGTTTCAAGAAGTACATGGTGCTGCTTAGTGGGGATGACAGCACCTGGTCCCAAGGCAACCTTCAGAAATCCCAGTCTCCTCATCACAAGCATATTACTATTATTTCCTATGAATGGATTTCTTTTCATTTTTAACAGTGGACAAGACTACGGCTTCAAAAACCTCACTGGTCTTCCTACTGTTATGAACCCCATCCAATGAGCACAATCATAAATCCTTCAGGATACCAAAATGGAAGCTTCTCTTCTTATCAGTTGACTGTTGAAAGATGTAAGTTATCCCTTTAATTTATTTTTTGTTGTCTTTTATTTCTATGATATTTGGAGAATTTAGAGATTTTAAAGTTTTTAACAATCAAATTAACTTTTTCATCTTCCTGCAGTATCTCATTTCATGCACCAAACAGCTTAATAATCTTGAATTTATCTTACTTTTAATGTCCCTCTGAATAATGTGACTTGATACACATTAAACTATAAAAACAGGCACCAACAAGTGAAAGAAATTTCACATATTTGTTCTGCTTTATCATTAGCTTCTAAAAGAACAGTTTGGTAAAATAATAGATAATCATATGCATTAGTTAATATACAAAATATTTAAAAGTTCATCAATTGCAACTACCTTCATAGGTCAGTTAGTTAGAACTTTTTTTTTTCGGTTGTTTTTTTTTTTTTTTTTTTTTGGGAATCAGAGATTGAACTCAGGTCTTCACACTTGCCAGGCAAGCAATTAAACTACTGAGCCATCTCCCTGGCCCCTAGATTTTCTTTTCTAAGTGGGCCAGAATTGATTTATTTCATTTTTTAAACATATTCCTCACCATTAAGTGGCTTAAAATGCATTCTTAAAGGAATCGTGAACTTTTCTTATAGATGTTTGAGGAGAAATTATTATTTCAGCAAAAATGGCATGGTGGTAGTGAAACAGATTCACTTTATACTACAAAATAAGGTGATTCCAAAATTTATATAATTCATCACTCTCAGTACTCAAGAATAAGTGAGACAGCTATCCTAAAATAATTTTCTGAGAGAATAAAGTTTTTTTTTTAAAGCTCTAGGTTTTAACATAAGCGCAGAGCTAAGATTTACAACCAAATTTGAAAATAAAACAAAAGATTAACATATTAATTGGAATAATTGGAAGAGCAAGATATTCCAATCAATATGAATCACTGACAAGTAATATGCTGAGTGCACATGAGTTTTAACTTCATATTGAAGAACAAAATTATAGTCTTTACATGAAAATACTTTGTTCTTTTTTTGTGCAAAAATGCACCTTCAGCTGGGCACATTTTGGAGCATGCTTATAATTCTACCTATTCAGAATATCGAGTCAGAAGTATCGTAAGACCAAGGACATCCTTGGACACTTAAGAAGGCTGTTTTCCAAAAATGTTGGGGAGCTGGGGATAAAGTTCAATGACAGGACACTTATCTAGATTATGTGAAGCCTTTTGTTCAATCCTCAAATTGCAGAAAAACAAAAGAACCCAAAACAAAATGAAACAACCAAACAAAAATCTACCCATTATCTGTCTATATTTTCAAAAAGTGGTTTTTGAAAGTCACTGAATTGGGAGATTGGTACAGTTGCCCAAATGGTTTTGGAACAGTGTGTACTTCATAAGGAAGACTTGAAAGAAGAAGTCTGTCAATGTGGGCCACATACCACAATGAGAGGGCTGGCCTATGCTTACAATTGGGAGGTAGAGATAGTATATAATTTTAAAAGTTGCTCATTTATCTTCTTTATGTTTCACCATATTTTAATTTATCCTATTCTATTCTCACAGAGGATATAACTACTATGCTATTTTGCATCCTCGTAAAGACCCCACATATTACCATGGGGGTGAGGATAAAGACAGCTTTTCCTCTGGCTCACTTCTGACCACAGTACACAGCTGAAACTCTTATTCACATGCCAGTGATCTACTTAATAGTATCACCCCAAAGTGCTGCATTCATAATGTATTTGAATTATACAATGGGGAAAACACATCAGATTTGGGAAAATCAAAGGCAACTAAAGTCATGTCACTATGACAACTACCTTTCAGAAGAACTTGTGTGCAGTAGTACTCAAAAAAAATTGCTTTAAATGGTACTTGAAAACAATTCTTTTAGTCTTTAGTATGTACATTTTCCCTTCTAATTCATATACCCAATTGGCTTGAAAAAAGTGATTCTACCTTACCATTCTGTTATGATAATAGTCCAGCTACATCAAGTTCTTTGTAGCATGAATTGTTAAATGTATAAGAAAATACATCCATAAGGTTATAGAAACGTTATGATCAGCTCTTTCCCTTACCATTAGTTCAATAGCAAGAGCAGGCAATATGAATTCCCTGTCAATGTTCATGTAAATTTGACAATAACAGAGCTTTCTTTCTGGCTGTAGTTTCAGAAACAGATTGAAAATGAAAGAAATGTCTTAATATTTTTGGTTTATATTTGATTATAAGGTGAAAAGGTGATGGATCTTTCACAGGACATGTCCTTCTATGAGGTAAACCAAGAGAGAAGATAAAAGAGGGGAAAAGAATCAAGAGGAAGTTGTGTGTCCTAGTATTTGAGGATTATTCGAGTGCTATGTTTGTCTATGGAATCTTTTCACCCTTCCTCAGTCTTTGTTAAAAATTAATTGAGAACAGTGAAAAGAGATTTACTTATTACACCAGCCTTGAAACTATTACACCTTCCCCTCTAAACTGAGGGGAAGGGAGAATAGAGCTGTTATGATATTCAGAAAACAGAATGCCCTGGCAGGCAGAGAAACAAGCATCCTGTGGATGAAAAAAGAATGTTTGCATGTTCCATCCATAAGGCATAGAGCCTGTAAGAGTGAGATTCATCTTCTCTGGCAGCACAAATGCAGCAGCCCTCACCTATCCCTGCCCAGCCCTCTTCTGCATGATGATTTGTGAGCTCTCATGTTCAGTTATGCATAGCAGTAGGCTCTGCATTGGGGTCCCCTGGTAAACACACATTAAGGCAATTGAGGATTTATGTGGGGAGCAAATGCATTCCTGTTTCAAAGGGAAAACTTAAGTGTATGGAAAGCTCACTCTATAGACATGAATCTCATTTATCTCTTGATTCGCTCTTATGGCAAGCAATATACATCTGGAATGGCTTAATTGGGGGTGCCAATTTCTATAAATTATGCCAGGAAAGCGAGGTTACAGAATGGTCCTTAAGACAGGTGGCTGTCTGGAATGTAAATTTGAGCTCTAGTCCAGGAATAGAAAAACAGAAAAGAGATGGCAGTGACCTAAGATTGAACCAACAGTGTCTCCCTGGGACACAGCACACCCAAAGACATGGGTGGCAGCGCTGGTGGCAACCTCCTTATCTTGTCTATTCAAATGAGAGATGTGTTTCTCTTTGTCAATTCTTAGCTGTGAAATGATCACTTTTTCATATTTATTGAGGATTAGCAAGATATAATGCATCATACAAAATAGAAACAGCAACGATCTTCTGCCTTGTAGGCTTGCCGAGATGATAAAGACATTAGCCATTTTTATTATTTCATTTTCAGTCAACATTGATTCAATTTTCAGGTCACATGTGTCATTTATTTTCTGAAAGTAAAAAGATTAGAAATGGACAAATACACAGTAGGAAATAAAAGAATGCACTCTGCTAAGATGGAGAGGTTATAAAATGTAAAATGTCTGAATTGTGTAGGTCTGAAAACCAAATGGGGTTTCATTAAAGCACAACAGCATTTGAATGCTATTTATAGCTTAAAGAGGTTTTGTTAATATTCAGGCAGAATGATATTTCTCCTGATGATGCACAGATATAAAATATCAGAACATAAATTAAGTAATGTAAACGAGTATGATTCTGACTGACATTTTAACTCTTATTTAAGTACTCTTTTACAGATAGAGGGACTGGGGAGATAGCTCAGTAGAATAAGCACTTGCCTGGCCAGTGCAAGGGCTTGAGTTCAATCCCTGGTTCTGAAAAAAAAAATGGAACTCCATTACAGATAGAAAGTTTTGGAATTGAATGAAATGACAAAGAAGTAGCCTATGTTTTGGGGTTTCTGTTACTGTTACTACCATTGTGGGTACAGAGGTTGAAGATGGGAAAAGGGGTAGCCATAAGAATGAATTTCTCAAGTTAATTTTCGCTGTCTTCCCCAATCCACCTAAGTGATGTGATTTACATATGCTTATTAAATGAAGCATTCTTGATGCGTGGAATATCTTTTCAAATGATTAATGTTAATAATTTGCTCAATATAAAAATTACTAACCTTGGACACAAATATCTTTCCAAGTTGCTAAGCAATCACAAAGCTGCTTATGTCTGAATCTTATCTCTGATATGTGAATAAGGTTTGAGGCAAAATTACAGCAATTTGGTAATTTCTTCACTGTTGCATATCCGATGAAGAATATGTAGAAGGAAATGTTTGCCTGGGACTGCTCTCTCTTTTTGCTGAAGTTTTATAGGTTCCTGAAGTATTCCACTTTCTAATATATACCTCTTTGTTTCTCAGTTTATCAATCCCTATACACTTCCATCTGCTTTGAAGTTTTTCCATATAAACAGTCCATATGTGTTGATCATTAAGTCTAAGTCACATAGTGAATGAAGTGATTTTTATATGATAATGTTAATACAATCCTGAGGGTAGTCACTATTACCAAACTCCTTTTGTGGAATAGAGAACCGTGACTGAGTAATATATGGTAAGCCACACATATACTATGAGGGAGAAATGGAATTTACATTGTTGCTTTCTGACTCCAGCACCCAGGTTTTACTCTTGAATTTGAAGTACTATTACTATAAATTCTTTCAATTTTCATAACTCTACGACGATTATTGTACTGTTTTCTTATTAGTGAAAACAATTAAAAGTAAAGTAATTATATTTCACAGTTTTTTGAAAAGGGCACTGTTATTATTAAAGAAAGAAAGAAAAAAAGAAAGAA